TGTGTGTGTGTGTGTGCTTTATTCTGCTAGAAGCAGATCTGTGGTAAATCCACGCGCTTTCCGGTCTGCCGCGGGGGTTGTGGGTAATGTAGTTTTATACGAGAAACGCGATTCATTCTTCTAACATGGATCAACCGAAACTTCGAGATATAGAGCTGGACACACTCTCATAACGCCAACATCGTCACTACACACTGAAGATATTAAAGATAACTGCTGCTCAGGCACAACCTGAAGATGTGTTTAATATATGGACACAGCACTGATCTGCAGTCCTGCTCAATCTCACACGGCGGTGTGTGTGTGTGTGTGTGTGTGTGTGTGTGTGTGTGTTTAGCCAGATCAGTAATGCTGTGTGTAAATCAGAACACTGTTTACTGTCAGCTTCAGTGATCAGAGCCTGCATGCGGCTGCGGCTGCAGATGTGGCTTACTCCGCTGATTATTATATTATTGTTGTTGTTATTATTGTTGTTGTTGTATGGGAGCGTTCGTCTCTATAACTGTAAACAGAGCTACTATTCTGAACCTGCTGCTGAGTTAATCAGAGGGTTTGGGCTCGCAGGGTTTTGTGTTCAGTCCAGCGGCGTCTGCACTTGTCAGGGTACAGTTGCTCTTTTACTGGACTGCAGGTTTGTCTGTGTCTGCTGCAGGAGACTCTCTCTGTTTATTTATCTCATAATTATGAAAATAATCAGTCATTTAATACGTTTAAAGTGTCCAGTACGCTCCACGTGCTTTACTCAATGCTGAATGTGGTGCTCAGAGACATGTAGAGCTGTACAGACACTAGAGAGGGTCAAGAGGGAACTAACCTGCATTGTTCAGACGGCTGAAGAGATCAGCATTTCTGTCTCCAGCTGAACGTGATGTGCTCATGCAGAGGTACAGCAGACATGAGCAGATGTTTAATACAGCAACACCACTGCATCAGGCAGACACACGGCATGGGGAAACAGCTGCTCAAGGTAATGCGCAACATTACATTTCAAATATTTAAGTAGGATAAAATCAGTCATGTGTGACGTTTATTACCTTTTCACTTGATGAAATGGGGAACTGGCCGTAATCTTTATTAAATGGCATAAAATTCATTTCATTCATTCATTTTGTTTTCAGCGTAGTCCTTTTATTCATCAGGGGCCACCACAGCGGAATGAACTGCCAACTTATCCAGCATATGTTTGATAAAGTGGATGCCCCTCCTACTGCAACCCAGTACAGGGAAACACCCATACACACTCATACACTACGGCCAGTGTGGTTGGACTGTGGGGGAAACCAGAGCACCCGGAGGAAACCCACGCCAACACGGAGAGAACATGCAAACTCCACACAGAAACACCAACTGACCCAGCCAGGACTCAAGCCTGCGACCCTCTTGCTGTGAGGTGACAGAGTTACCCTCTGCTTCACCGTAATATAACTTTAATAATTATAAAATGCGTTTATCACAGCATATATGAAACACAAAACAGCATTCACACCTGTGCACAACTAAATGTGGAAGCTTCTCGCTGAGCAAGGCTGCCAACATGAGAAGTGCTGCTGTAAAACCAACTGCTGGAGCAGAAGATGTGACATACAGGCAAATCTGAAGGAATCCATCCAGAGCCAGACTATAATAAGATTAATCAAGTGGAGAAGGTTTAACCCTACAGCAAAATGCTCAGTTTTAAATGAACTTCTAAGTGTCCACACTACTGAGTGCCCAAGAAACAGGGAAGCACAGCTGCTGATAATGAGTTACTTATATCATAATCGAGGATTGCTAAAAAAAATGTTTATGTTTGTTGTTTTGTTTACTAGAAACCACAGCTGCTGGTATTCTCCAACAAAATCATGAAAAAAATACCAATTTATTATTATTATTTTAACAATGTAGGTGCTATATGGCAGCAAAAAGTTTCTATAAAAAGTACTATATAGCATCTATCTCTTAAGTTGCTGTAAAGCACCCGGTTCCCCTTTTATTACGAGCCAAAGAACCACCTTTGGTGTTATTTAGCAGCTTTTTAGGGTGTACAGTATGAGTCTATATAAAGCAGAAACACAATCATGGCTAAAAGTTTTCTGGATAAACTGACCAACATTGACATGGAAATACAGCAGCACTGAGCAGAACGTCAGCAAACGCATGCCGATTGGGCTAAAGCTGCTTTTACATTCAGACTTTCTCCTTAATAATATAATTTCAGAAGAGTATTCTTTGCAAATTGTAAATAGTAAAATTAAATGAGCAGCCAGTAAATATCAGAGAACAGCAGTGTTCACAGTCAAATAAATAGTTCTGCGGATGTTGTTTTGAGGTCATGTTTACGTGTAGTTTCAAGACTAATATTCAAAGTACCATGGTAAACTTTATCGGGAGCGTTTCACGAGTTGGATTAATGAATGTGCACATATAAAACTAACTTCACCTTAATGGCATGGTGTAGTAATATTTCTTAGTATATCACCTTCACACCAAACAGTCTAATAACAGTGAAAACATTAGACAACTGCATTTACTCATTTAATTCCACCACATAAAACTTTAAAATGTGCAGTCCTGCTGTATACAGAGCCAAACATGGTAAAAGAGATAATAAAAGAGACTTTGGCTGGCTCCAGTGTGTTTAAACTCACTCAAATCAGTCAACATGTCTGGTTCAGGATCCTCTGAGCAGTTTCTGGAAGCATTGGAGAAACCAGAGCATCATCATCATCATCATCATCATCATCTTCTTCTTCTTTAGGTTTTAATGGCAGCTGGCATCCTGTTTGTTGCATTACTGCCCCCTTTTGTATTATTTTCTTTTACTCTATATTCTTTTTTTTCCAGTCCAGTTTTCAGTCCAGAAATTTATCAAACACTTCCTTCCTTTCTTCTGCACATTCTAATATACTATTGGTATTTATTTCTGCATTTATGAAACTTATCAGTTCAGTTGCCATTTCTTGTCTGTCTTGTATAAATTGACTACATGACATCAATACATGTTTCACTGTCTCATACTCCTGACACTGATTTCATAATCCTGTTCCATGTTTTCCCATTCAGTAAAGAGATCTATTTTAATTTCTATGTCTCATTCTCATTCTGTTTATAGGTGCTCGTTCTTTTCTACTCATATTAGAAACCAGAGCAACATCAGGAGTAACCTTTTGTATCATGAGAAGTGAAAGAGACCAAGTCTTTATTAATTAATCTAATTCTTGATATTTTTTTCAAAGTATGTACTAATAAAAAATTTGAGCATTATATATTTAAAATAAGAAAGAAATGTTGAAACTGTACTTTGTATTTTATGGTCACTTAATCTGTAATGGCAACTGATTTACATAAATCAATTAGCATTATGAGAGTTGATATTCAACTTAGATATTAAGGCGATTTTGAGGGACCCCACTAAATCAGCTCTACTCCTCAAAGATGGTAACCTATAAAAATATATTTTTTTATCTGTAATGACATTTTTTTTATTCAACACTTTTCTACATATTATACAGATTGAAATGCTGAAAAATGAAAACAAAATATTAAAAAACAATGGAGATATAAGGGATTAAAACTGACCTACAGCACACTCAACAGAGAACAAACGTGATTGGTTCAAAAACACGAATAGTAATGAGTCATTTGCATATGGTCTATTCTCCAATAGAACACAAATTTAGAGGGCTTTATTAGTTTAAATATCATAATCAAAGTATGAGAAAACAACCTAGACATCAGACAATCATATTCTGAATGAAAATATGCAAACAAGAACAAAGAAAAACACAAACAAGCAAATGGTCATGAAATCACTCACCGTTGCCGAAATGCTGTGTCTCAACACCTTGTCAATGGGCCAGACTCACCACTTCCTCAGGGTAATGCTCCCAACGGTTGTCCTTTATTAGGATGATGTCGGATTGGTTCTTGCATTGCCTTAGAGGAGGGGTCTGGTAGAAGAATGATATATTCATTGCAATATATCCGCCAGACTGAACCTCGACCTGGCCTCCTAAAATATTATGTTTTGCTTTATGAGTGGGAGGTCAGGATTATCTCTTTGGATGCTTCTGGTCACATTTAAGCAAGTTTTTAAGTCATTTTGCATTATGGAACTCCTTGAATGTTGACTGGTGGTATTCTGGAGAAAATCAGCAGGGAGTGAGGAGAAGGCAATGACATGTTCATGGCCAACTTTTACTCCTGAATCTACCTGTTAGATTCAGCTGATTTGGGCAAGGGCTCTCCTGTTCCCTGGAGATATCTGGGGTCCTGGGGAGCCTGGTCTCTGGAATAGCCAGAGTAGGCCCCAAACAGAAACCTCTTCAGACTCTTCTCGGGTGACCTGGGCAACCTTGCGGTGTTAACAAAAGGTCACTTGGGGGAGTGGTAAGTATTCAGCCCCCCTGGGTCCACTTGGACAGCACGCAGGGACGGTGGTCTTGGGTGAATGGCCTTAAATGAAGCCCAGTCTTCTACTGGTGATTAGCACCTCCACACAACAGCACATTGTGCATCAACACCACCTACACCAGTCATTCGAGAACTTTTCAAAAAGTCAATTCAACTCAAGATCTACTAAAAGACTTGTAACCCCAGAATTTACTAGGATTAAGGTTAGGGAGTAAAATCAGAACTTCCATAGGGACACCTCAAAACACCAGATCTTCTCAGATTCATAACCTTCATAGGTCATATGTTGTGCGGCTCTGGCTAAATTTTATTTGAAGAGAATTACCAAAATGTAAAATTACTGAAAATGATTAGAGGGAATAAATTATATATTTAATCTTTGAACCTGATTAAACCATAATAATGCAACAGTGCATTGAATTATACTAGCAGAAATATATTTTTGGATAGGCCTTGCAAGTGAGCAGGCACTAAAACTAATAAAAAATATAGCACTAAAATTTCATTTAACTATAAATGACATTACACAGCTGTTTATCAAAAGTTAATGACAAAAAATATGCCACATTTGATGGTAAACCCTTTAAGCGATGACTGTTTCAGTAGTC